AAAATAGATTGAAACTGAAAAAGCCACAAAGTGTGAGGAGTATGTGCTATATAACTATCCCTTTCAAGGCAGTTAATGTGTCTGAGAAATTCGAAAAGCATGCATTGTTGGAAGTAATAATTACTAAGAATAAAATTAACCTAAAAAAGCATATCCAGTATCTTGAATGAAAATCAAGAGAAAATAGAGAATGATCCTTAAGTTACGATGAAACTTATATAAGTTGCGCAGTTGTTATCCCCATACGGTTCTGAGCAAAATGATAAGGTTCGGGGTTTGGTTCGTTGAGTATGAGCCGAGATAGCTCACCGGCCCCGTAGGATCCCGTCGTTCTCTGCCTCCTCTGAAAATTGTACACTCACCACGCAGCCAAGCTTCTTCCACTGGGCATTTGGCTCTGATGTTTTTTTTCCGTTATTTGCAAATGAATGTAGGCAATTCGTATATCATTGTGAAGAGACACCTGCACAACATCTAATTTTGGTCTGAGTGAATGAAATGAGAGAAACGACGTTTTATGGTCAAATTAGAGTATCCCCTTCCTACTCATTTGACAGGATTTCATTCACAATAAAGCTGATAAGCGTGCTTCCCGATATCCAACTATTTCAAGGACGTTCTAAAAAACCCGTGTTCCTTTCAAAAAAGCTTTTTCTGCCAAACTCTCTCATAATTTGTTGTTTTTAATTCCGTACTATTCAAAAGGCTCTACAAAAAACTCACAGCTGCACAAATCTCAGACCATAGCTTTTTTTGGCTTTGATGAATATACACGGAAAGGAAGGGAAACAAAGAGAATGAATGAAAAATCTTTGAAGAAAGTGTTATGGCGTTTCCACGACATTTTTCATTGACGTTTGTTTTCTCTTGTCAGCTACCGTAATATAAAGCGCCTGAGTTAAAATCGCCATCACTTTTGTTGTTCTCTCTTTGAAGTAGCGAACCTGCTATGTCCCGGGCAATAAGCGTATGTAGATTTCAATTAATACCGAAAATGCTGAGAACTACACAGAGATTAATATGTCTAAATGTCAGCATTTCTTTGGGTGAACAAAGGCAGAGCTATTGCCTAGTTTTAAAAATTAGCCGGAGATAAATGAACTTAAAGTAACAATTGTACTTCCCTTTTCTTAATCAATAACTTAGCAAGAACTGAATATGCTAAATTTTAAAACCTTCTACACCTGTTAGAGCTCAACATAATAGACTCATGAAAAAAAGCAGAAACTTTCGTTGTTTTGCTGTACATCAGAGTAGCGTGTTTTTAACATCAATGCTTGTGAATTTATGGCGTAAACTTGTTTCGTTTAAGGCATCTTTTAAATTCTAGTTTGAATTTACTATTTTGAGGACTAACATTTAACCCGTAACATCGTGCTAGGAAAACCTGACAGTTCTGCCGCTGTTGGAATATTGATCTGGCTTAGTAAAAAAAAACAGGCTCAAAAATTAATCTTGGAAATAGAAAATAATCACATCGAAGTGTTTTGAAGCAATCACCACCAAAGAGGTCGGATATTCTGAACTTCGAAAACCGTCATTTTTACGTTAACAACGACCATTACCTAAAGAGCTCCATAATTCGCGGATCATTCTCTTCTGAGGGATCGAGCCGGTCACAATGCTACTCGGATATTCCAGGTGCAGGATAGAGGCTAACCGCAGACATTAGGTAGCTTTCAGGAACCTAGCAAGCTGTTGAGCTCTAAGCACCCTATCTTCACAAGGACAGAGCCCAGCAAGCTACTTATAAAATTTCTCCACTACTCAGGCAATGCTTTGAGGGTTTCGCAAAGCACTATCGCAGCTATCCTCAGGTCACAGGCAAAAGACTTACATCAACTCTTCGTGACTAACGATGAAGCGCTGCGAAGGTTTGTCTGTTACATTAGACTCCACACTAAGAAACTACACAATCTCTGCGCAGGTTTACGCCAAAGCAGGAACCGATAGTGCCGGCCCAGTTCCTAGTGATGCATGTCTGATCCTTAAAAATTTGACGTGTGAATAAGATCACAAATCGTATGAGTCGGTAGCGATGTGGAACAACAGTAAAATTCCTAAGAGAAGGATAATTCTAGCCATCTTTGCTCAAACCCCGTTATGGTAGATTTTTCAAAGTGCGTGAATGCTTTATGTTCTTTTTTGCAACCTTTGAAAATAAATCAAAAGAATCAATTTTATTTCTCACAAGTTTTGGTTGTTTCCCGCAGAATTTTGTATTTTGATTAAGAGATCAAAGTAAATTTGAATTGCAAAAACAACATAATGGAAATGCGAAGAAGAAGAGCTGACTTCTCATTCCTAAAGCTGAGGTTCGACTGACTTGAGATCTACCATACTCAAGCAGATGCAGAAAGGACGCAAAAGGCGCATGCATTTTGAAAACATACATTGCGAAGTATAAGCAAAAAGGCTAACTATTCCCCAAACATATGCACTTGTTTAAGCACTACCGCGCACCGCTGCCGACTCTATTCTAAA